CACTCCTTCCAAGGTAATGACATGGCCACCGAACCGCACTTGGGAGCATCAGAGATGACACTTGCTAGCTATTAACTTCAACCCAGTGGCCTTCAGATATCAGAATACTAGCTACGAATTCGTGAGGTGTTCTTCAAAACTCTTTCCATGAACAGTAATGTCGTGGTGGTGAACAAGGCAACTTCTCGAGATCAATTTACTCAGTAACTTCTGCAACAGACGTTGGGAGGTCGCGGGAGCATTTGTTAGCCCAAACGGCATTGTTTGGAAATTATGGAGGCCGAAAGGACGGGTGAATACCGTTTTCTCTCTATGTGATGGCTGAATCTCCACCTGCCAAAAACCCGACGCTAATTCCAATGTGGAGAAATACCGCAATCCCGCTACCACCTCAAGGATGTCATTCATCCTCGGAAGCGGGAAGGAATCCTTATTGGTGACGTTAGTCCACGCATGACCTCAGGGACGCATCTTTTTTCTTAACAAGCACGATGGGGATGCCCAGGGTTACATTGATGGCCTGATGATTCCCCTCTCCAACATCTCATGCACCATCCTTTGGAGCTATTCTCGGTAGTGTACAGGGAACCGCCCAGGAGGTACACGGATGGGTTTTGCACCGCCGGTATTAATTTCATGTGTGATTACACCAATTCTCCCGGTTTCACCTTCGGTCCAGGCGAATACGTTTTGGCATTTCGAGATGATATTTCTTAGCTGGCTTCACTCCAGATCGGAAGTCGTTCCAGCATTTGCTAAACGGTCGTCGATGTGACCGTGTGGTGATCTTGTGTTGCACCTCATGATTTTCTCATGATGCCTTGGTGTTGTGGATTCAAACGCACCGCATTCACTGTTAATGGGTAAGAAACCCTTGCTCGAATCTATGTTACACGAGTGTCGCGACAGAAAATCGACACCTAAGATGGCGTCCCGTTGAAGATTGCGATCTACTATCACCTCTTGGCTCTTAATGTTCAGTGTCACTTTGACGGACCTATCGTGCGTACTCGGATGTTATTGACAACCCAGAGGTGTTGCGTGACTCGGGTGCGCTCTTGCGGAATCATAAGGACCTTTATGACCAGAGTGCAGGCCGACCCAGTGTCTACTAGCATTCTACCTTGGACCGCATTTATCAATCTGAGGATAACTGACAACAACTTAGACGGCACAGAACAAACAAATGGCAAATACATACACTTGGGAGACTCACTTAGGTGGCTGTTCCGTGAGCTGGGACTGTTCCACTGCTTTTTTGGTTGCTTGCAATTACTGGGTCTTTGTCTCTCCTGTCTCACCAGGTGGCGTCTGGGGCCCCATTGGCGTTTCACAAGATCTGGATCCTGCGCATGTTCGGGGGCTGCTGGTGGCTCTTCGAGGGACGAGGCGCGATCGACGGCTTCCTTAAGAGACACTGGCGGTTTCTCCGCAAACGAGTTTTGTACGGTGGTTGAGCGGACGCCATCAGCAAGCGGGTGCAATAGCGACGGTTCCTTGAAGCTTGGTTCACACTCCGGAAATGCTGCTGTGGTCAACTTTCACAAATCTGCCGCGAACCGCTCTGCAGTCTCGTCGAGTCGCTGTGTCCGATAATGGAAGGTATCTTGGTCTCTTCCGCCGATGAGAGACAACGATGGACCGTGTCATGTCAAGTGTTTTGTCTGTGACGTCTTCGGGAACTTCCTGGTGGATCTGGTCATACACTGTTTCGTCCACCAGGGACAGCAATAAGTACTGTCGTTTAGCGGGCTCCTACACGCGTAGGTATCGCCGGGCTTGGGACTTCCAGCGGTCGTAGTCATCTGCGATGTGGAATTT